AGAGGGCAGAGTGGGGAGAGTAGGGGGAGAGAGGGGAGAGTGCGGGGAAAGCTGGAGGAGAGAGGGGAGAATGGGGAGGGAGGGGAGAGGAGAGGGCAAGCATGTCGGGGTCTCTTCTGCCCTAGTCACTCCCACTCACTCCGACCTCACTCTGCCTCTCCTCAGTTCGCCACTGTCTATAAAGCAAAGGACAGAAGCACTGGTAAAATCGTGGCGATTAAGAAGGTGCGTATCAGAATACATCCAGGTATCTGGTGACTCTTTTATTCTACCTGACCTAATGGATAATGGGATATTTTGTATCTTTGTTTTGGAGTGTTTGGGTTAAGTTAATGCATTTAACTTGTCTGTGGTTCCCACCCCACTGCAGGAGACAGGCACAACCTTTGCTGTCTTTCTCAAGGGTTGTTTGGTTTGGAACTTAAAATTCTTGTAATTAGTGAGGTTTATTAAAGAGAAAACCTACACATTTCTAAACTGCAGACTTTATTACTCCTGGCTAGTGGCGTTTTGTTACTTTGTTCTCAGTCTTTAGTCCTCCTGTGCCTGATTTCCTTTGCCAGTGCTTGAGTGTTGAGGTTCTGGACCTGACATTTCAGGTCAGGAGATGACTGTGACAGAAGGAAAGGCAGCCCAAGTTCACAGGCTGTGCTGACTTCACTAGAACCATCCCAAGATGACTGTCAATTCCGCAGCTCTCATTTCTCCCGGAGGAGAAGCTCATTAGTGCTACAATAAAGCTTTGTGGCTACAGAGCATTTTATGCTATCAGTTTGCATTGCATCTGTTTTCAGTGCCATCATTTCTATTTTTAAGCTTCTGTAAGAATTTCATTCTGTAGAGAGAGTCTTTTTTCTAAGGGAAAAAAACCCCCAACAATCAGCTAAAACCAATGCAGCTAAAGTGCTTCATTACCCTGAAACTCATTCTGCCTTTAGAAGAGTAATACTAAAGCTATTCCCCACCATCAACTTAGTCTTATGTAATATGAAATGTTTATTTTCAGATCAAACTGGGGAACAGAACAGAAGCTCAAGACGGTGAGTTTTAGAAGAAGTTCATGCTGTAGAATCTGTCCTTTCTTTGCTTTGTTTTTGCAGTTTGGTAGATTAATTTCCCACACCATGTCTTGGCTTAGAAAAATGAGCTCAGTGCTCAGTATAAGGCTGAGTGGATAACTGGTTCCCAAACTGCAGGGGCAGGAAAAAGCAGCATAGATACCTGCATGCAGGGTATGTGTCTATATGTGGGTATGTAACTGCTTAGCCTCTCAGTTTTAGTGGAATACAAACATGATGTGGATGATAATATGATCAGCACTGAGTTTAAAATACCTCTTTGTATCAATGCATCTATGTGCTTTAAATGTTGAAGACAGGTGAGAGTATTTGTGTCTGTTTTCAGATGTTTCCATTGTTCTATTTTTGTGGTGCATGCAGAGACAAAGGTTGATAAAAAGAAGACCTTAAAATTGTTTTCTCTGTTGCTTTTTTACCTCAAATCCAAAATAACCCATTTTGGAGCTTTCCACCAGTCGTCTGTAGTACTGGCAGGATTCTCCCAGAACTTTGAAAGACTGTGTATCCCTTGAAACAGGTTAGCCCATGAGCAGTTAAGTAGACTCATGCTGTTCTGTGCCTTTGAACAATTGGTTGCAGTAAATTGAGGCCAGTACCAAGCAGGTGGTCTGGGCCACCATCCCCCATACCTACATATCCACCTACATGGGGAGTGCCCCATCCATCTGTTAAAGCTTCTGCCTTGATGAGTAATACGTTCTGCACCTGATGCTTCCGATAGTAGGGACCATCCTTGTGGCCTTTGGCTCTCCTCAGTGGTGATTGTGCAGTTCCATTTTAATCTTCCAAAGGGATCTAGACTCACCCCTCTCCATGGTAACTCCTCGGTTGTTAATGCTCTCCCACACACCAAGGGAAATGTTATGTCCCTAGCCATTCAGAGTACACACCGACCCCAAGAGTGATGAGACGAGTAGTCTAGTGCAGAATCCCGTTTGCGGAAGGGGACGGCAGGCACAGAACCTTAACAGTGTCCCTGCGGGGTCAGCGTGGTCCTCGAGTTCTGGTGGCCCTCCCAGACGGTGTGTGTGGCCTTATATATCATAGTTTTGCTGTGTTATCCTGATGTGACCAGTACACGACAGGATGAGGCAGGTCCGAATTTCTTGGGGCATCAGCACACCTTTGGTCGCATAGGTTTGGTGGCTCTGTGCATGCGTGCAGAGTCAAAGGGTGGTCATCAGTGTCCTCTGGGGGTTGTTACTTCCTCGTCCTTCCCCATCATCACCTCTGTGTCCTTCCTTGGTGGGCCATTTGGCAGTCAGTCAAGGCTCATTATCCTTTTAGCTGCCTTAGCTGAAGTTTTCTCATCACTGCTTAGTCCTTCAGTCCCACAGGCCAGTTGCACCTGCTTACTCCCGTCTCACTCCATTCCCACAGGAGAGCTGCACCAGCTTACTTTTATAGTCAGTTTGACATGACCTGCTGCAGGCTATCTCCATTTATAAGGGTCTTCAGACACAGTATGGATAAATAGAATGCTGCTTATTAGCACCAGCTACATAGCTGCTGAGGTCTGGTGTAACATCCTCCCCTTCTCCACACCTCCTTGGTTGCTAACAGAGATGGGGCTTGTTTAGTGGGAAGGACAGAGGTTAATCCAGCCTTGCCCTCAATTTCTAAGTTGCTTAGTGCATACTGTGTAATCAAACTCAACTTTTAGGGTTGCTGTAATTTTTACCTCTAATCCCATATGACTCTGGACAGCATTAATTATACACCAAATATTTTATAGTTCATGCTTTCGGAGGGTGAGCTTTAGTGAGTCATCCTTTGTAGTCATGGTCCACTCATCCTGAGGCAGGGCTACTGGTCCTTGGGCTCTGGTGGCAGGAGTCCAGCCCTTCTCAGCAGTCCTGACTGCAGTCTCAGATGTTGTTAATACCTGGAAGGTGCCCTCCCACGCAGGAATCAGTTAATTTTCTTTCCAAGATTTTATTAGTACCCAATCTCCAGGTTTTAATGAGTGTATATAAAAGTCCAGGGGTGCAGTTTGGGGTAACAATCCTCTCTGTCTTAAGTCTGCAAGAGAAGGAGTTATGGTAGGCAGATAATTTCTGAGATAAGCATCAGTTAATTTGGGAGTCAGCAGTCCCTCTCTGTTTCCTGAATAAGGTAAACCAAGTAAGATTTCCTAAGGGGAGATTCCCAGATCCCTTCTAGGTGCTGTTCTAATTCTTAATAATGCTAAGGGTAAACACTTGGTCCATGGTAATTTAGTTTTGATAATTAACTTAGATGTATTGCTTTTCAAGGTAGCATTCATTCTTTCTACCCACCTGGAGCTTTGGAGATGCCAGGGTGTGTGAAAGTCCCATTTCATGCCCAAGGCTTGACATGCATCCCTTAAAACTTGGGAGGTAAAGTGAGACCTTCTGTCAGAATTTACTCGTTCTGTTGTGCTGTACTGAGGAATTCTTTGTTCTAACAAGACCTCGATCACGTTAGAGGAAGTGGCAGTTGCAGAGGGAAAGGCTTCAACCCAATGGGTCAGATGATCCACTATTGCTAACAATTTCCATCACTGTATCTTAGGGAATTCCATATAGTCTATTTGTGCACTCTGAAAGGGTCTCAGAGCTACTTCCCTTCCCCCATCAGGATTATCTCTCATTACCTTCTTATTGATTTTTGGCAAGTTAGACAAGAACTAGTCACTTGTTTAGCTATGGTATAGACTCCTATACACCCATGCGCTCTCAAAAACTGGTCACAGAGGGCTTGGGTTCCCCAGTGTGTTCCTTGGTGTATTTTTGTCAGTATTCTCCTGGCAGTAGGTTTGCTTACCATTTGTATTCTTCCCTCTGGAACTGACACACCTTGAAGAAATAATATTTGCAAGATACAATGTGTTTTTTTTAAAAATAAAAGCACCTGGAAAAGGTGATTTATTTTTTTTTAATTTCCCTAGGCTTTTGCTAGGACTTTCCATTTTTGCCAAAAGAGAAACATGTTGCTTCTTAATCTAAACCAAATTGCTGTGATGTAAAATGTATTTGCTGTGGAAGGTGCATGCCCACTTTATTCTTCAACAAGTTGCTTATCTGTGTAATGTACTGGTAATTTAACAAATTGCTGAGTGGTGAGAATGTAATTTGTAGTAATAAATAGTGAGTAACAGAATGAGAGGGTTTTTGGGAGGCTTAATCCAAGGGGTTTAGTTTTGTTCTTTCTTTTTTCTCCCCGTCAATGTAGGAATCAACAGGACAGCCCTCAGGGAGATAAAACTGCTACAGGAACTAAGCCACCCAAACATCATTGGTGTAAGTAAAATGAATGCTACTTCTAGAATGAAGTCCTCAAATACTTGTGGTACAGGTTTCACACTGAAATTTAAAACTAGTTGGGTCATGGAACTGCTACTTAATTTTATTTGAGCTTTTTTCCCTAGGTCAAAATGGACAGTACAACAACTGTTACGGCAAAATGCCTATTTCAAAGTAGGTTTTCTTAGCCTGGGACCACGTGGATATCAGTAGTGGGAAGAGTCATGAAAGTTTAGGTTACCTGATTTTGCATCTCTGTGGTAGAATTACAAGTGAGAGTAGGCCTGAACTTGCCTGATTGTTTGCTTCATATGGGACAGTCAGAAACAGACTCTGGTAAGCAGTGACAAAGGGGCAGTCCTGTGCCTTTAGGCTTTGGCACACGGATGTGATGTCTAAAGTCTCTGCTGAAATGAGTAAATCCTGTATCTTTTCAGGTGCATTTTGATAGAGTTACAGCTACAGAGCTGCAAGCCAAAGACATTTTTGCTGCAGACATCTGCAGATGGAGCCAAAGGTGTTTTAATGTTCGCTCACAGTAATTAGAGTGTCTGCCATAAATATTAGACCAAATATGAATTTTCCAGATACTTAAATTCTTTCTGAGTGGAAATATCCTCTTTCTGGATTGTGAACTTACTCTAAAAGTGGTTGCTTTAGCTATCCAAGTCAGAGAACTAACTGGATGAAGCCTTGAGCAACCTGATCTAGTGAGGAAGTGTCCCTGCCCAGGGCAGGGGGTTGGAATTAAATGATTTGTAAGGTCTATCCCAGCCCTTAAATTCTATGATTATATGTGCATGTAGAGAAGGACAACTAAAATGGCAAAGGGTTGGAGCATTTTCTTTATGAAAAAGTCAGGGATTCTTCACCCAGAAGAAAAGGCTGGGAATGGGGGTGTCTACAAAACAGGTGGTAGATGGAGTCCATGCAGAACTGCTAGTTTCAAACCCTGTAGTACTAGAAGTAAGAGATGTATTTACAACCTATTTGCAGCAGGAGTGGAAATTGTACTGCTTACCTCAGTGGATTTCTAGACTATGTCGCCATGGGCATTGTAGAAGCAAATAGCATCGGCAGTTCAGAAAGGAATTTGGCAAGTTTATGATCAGCAGGTCCATAAGGAGGTACTAAAGACAACAGATAACGTTTTGCTCCGCTTAATAGACCTGACAAAACTTGTGTGGATGTTGGGGGTGTAAGGGGCATGAACTGCAAGAAGTGGCCAAGCCTGTAGACTCACCTGCATAGCACCTAGTGTTACGATGATTTCTGCAGAGGAAGAGCAGAACATAGTCACTGAAACAGAACAGTCACTGCTGTTGGGTGCTATTCAAACAAATTGTCTTGCAAATGGACAATTCACGCAGTGATCACGCTGAGCCTAAGGAGTGAGCCACATCATGAAGAGCTTACCTTCCTCATCTCAAAGGTAGAATACCAAGCTGGATGTTAATCTCAAATTGCAAACTGATTCTGTCATTACACAGCTTCATCCTAAGAAAGGGCTGTTTGGAAGCCCTCCAACGAGCTTTATTTATCATGGAGAGCTTGCTACAGAGATGAGTATGCACCTGAGGGAATCTGAAAAGAAGTTAATAAGCCACACACTTAGAACTTCTAAAAGCTGCATACTCACAGGAAGTGAATACATTGAGCTGAATCTACGGGCAAACAGTAGTCTTAAGGAAGGGTAGGAGTTTTGTAGAACAGCAAAGTTTGGGGGAGAGAGCAAAGTGTGCATTCTATTACCTGTTGTAGTTAACATGATAAAGTTAATTCTTTCTCTTTTTTTACTATCTCCAGGAAGGAGGGACGATGGTGTAAAATGTTATTACCAAACTTAATGAGGATCTTTTCTTTTTTGTAAGCTGAGTTAAGAAGCTAAACTGAGTCAGAATTTTTTCTCGTTGTGAGTCAAAAACCTTAAATAGGGTCAACAAGCTGAAAGCCACATGCAGACTACAGTGGTGCTGAATTTCAGAAAACTGGAAGCATGAGAATATAATTCATCACAATGTATTTTGTTTTGCAGCTCTTAGATGCTTTCGGACACAAGTCCAATATTAGCTTGGTGTTTGACTTTATGGAAACAGATCTAGAGGTAAGATTTTTTTTTTAAGACTTTTATTTCAGTATCTTCAAATGGTTTTTGAAAATGCTACTTTAACAGGCTATTAACAGGATATTTGTCCATGTCAGAGAGTTGACTTTATCAGTTGAAGAAGATCACATGTTAAAAGTGGGTTGAGTAATTTCAGGTTTTGAGAGTTCTCAGATGAATTAGTCATTTACTTTCAAATACTTGTCAGCAGGATCTTCAGGAAACTGTTTGCTGTGTTAGTTTCCCAGGACTAAAGTCTGAGTGTAGAACCTCAGTCATAGACCAGTTTCTCAGAGTGCAGTTGCATAATACCAAACATGTTCAAGTACATGTGATACCAAAGTATACCAGGTGATGATGGTACTAAAATCACATGCACCTGAAGCATTTTTTCAGATGTGGCAATGCCAGGTAACTGCAGATCAGTATATCACAGATGTTCCATTCTCCAAGACCTTCCTCTTTGCATAAGTATGTGACATTTTGATATGAGAGCCTTCATTTTGGAAGCCTGTCCAGGACAGCACTGCATGACAGATCTGTGGATGCACACATGATATCTACTCTGAACTGAAATTAATGTAGTTGTTAAGCTGCCTCATTACACACGTACTGCTAAGGACTGAAATATTACAAGAAAATACTGACAGGCTGTATCAAAGTGGCCATACCTCCAGAGGAAACCACTTCATTTGCAGAGATTAGTTGCTTTGGTTGTACAGAGGAAGAAGAAGTAATCTCAAGTTTACTGAGGCATCATTTTTGTGTACGTCTTTGTCTTGGAAATTCGTGTATCAACATGGAATTGAGACAAAATAATAAACTTGTTTCCCACCTGTTTTATTCCTTTGCTGGCTGTGCAAAGTCCCTGTAGGCTATCTGGACTTCCCATTTCAATTTCTGATCTCCAGAATGAACCTTATTTTTCTGGAAAAAGGATGAGAATGGTAGAAAATATGTGACTGCCAATTTGAACTTAAAGGCTGAAATAACTTGAGAGCTGAAAGGATGGAAGGAAGTTGTGTGCTGAGCTTTACCATCACTTTAACACTTTGCAGGTTATTATAAAGGATACAAGTATTGTGTTGACACAGTCCCACATCAAGGCATATATGCTAATGACACTTCAAGGATTAGAATATTTACATCAGCATTGGATCCTACACAGGGTAAGTCTGTGATAAATTGGCAATCTTTGTGCTCTAACAGAAGCTGGAGAGAATTTGAGCCTAAAGTGTAATGAAGGTTTGAAGTGCAGGCACTTTCCCTCCACAGTGATTCATATTAGCTGTTTTGGAGAGACAATACCAGTACCAGAAATGTTAAGCATTACTGGTGTGGTTTTCACTTAGATACTTACATAAAAGGATCTCCAGTCAGATGAGACTTTTTTTCCTTATAATGTAGGAAAGAATCAAAAACTTTCATTTTGGAATACTGTGGTGACACATCTGCCAGGAGATTCATTGTATGTCTGTTCTTACCAATACTGACAAAACTTCCTCTTTGCTTTCTATACTGACAGGATCTTAAACCAAATAACTTGCTGGTAGATGAAAATGGAGTTCTAAAATTGGCTGATTTTGGCTTGGCAAAATCCTTTGGAAGCCCAAACAGAATTCAAACACACCAGGTAGTAACAAGGTAAAACATTCTGCTTTGTTTCTTAAACAAAGATAGTTGTTTTGCAGTGTCTCTTGAAATACGTCAAATCAGCATGATGTGGCAAGAGCCTCATGAAGAAAACACAGGAAAGCATTGCTTAGCTAAGTCTCCATAAGAACTCCGTATGCATCTGTGAAGGTTGTTCTGGGGCATAATACCCTTGAAATGCATGGAAATAGGTAGTCACATTATCTGCTATGAGACAAATCCTTGAACACAATTAAAATACTTATGACTGTGTTTTATGGCAAGCTTTAAAAAGCAGGACTGCAAAATCATAGCATGTTAAGGGTTGGCGTAGACCTTGGAGATCTTCTAGTGCCAGCCCCCTGCCCTGGGCACCCCTCCCACCAGAGCAGGTTGCTCAAGGCTTTATCCAACCTGGCTGTGAACACTGCCACGGTCGAGGCAGCCACAGCCTCCCTGGGCAACCTGTGCCAGTGTCTCACCACCCTCACAGTAAAGAATTTCTTCCTAGTGTCCAATCTAAAGTTCTCATCTTTGATTTTATCCCCATTAATCCTTGTCCTATCACTGCAGTTCCTAACCGAAAGTCCCTCTCCAGCTTCCCTGGAGCCCTTTCAGGTCCTGGAAGGTGCTCTTGAGGTCTCCACACAACCTTCTCTT